AATTGTAGACAAAATAAAAATTGATTATATAACTCCAATCAAAATAGATGATTCCCAGGAGACGGAGCTGAAGCTTGACTCAGAAAATGAACCGGTAACCATTTTTTATATAAATTTACGATGTACCCTGCTTCGCTGTGGCACGTTGTAGTTTAATTTGAGAGTAGAGTAGTAGAGTTGACGTGCCTGTTGGTTTAGTGGTTAGTGACCCTGACTGCTAAACCGGTTTTCGTGGGTTCGATTCTCACCCAGGACAAATATTGTGTGATGAGCACGGTCATTTAAAAAATATGTATTTAAAAAAAACATAAGTATGTTTATCAGCTTTCTGGTTACCATGGTACAGGCTTTGCCTAGTTAGGGATCAGACGGCCGTGTGTGAGATGTGTGAGGTATATTATTAGTATTATTAATTTATGAGAAATGGAGCACAAAATTGACACTAAAAATAGATGAAATCAATATTTTTGAAGCAGGTTGTGCATAGAGATTAACCAACCAACTTAAGATTATATTTTATATATATATATATACATCTGGGTCTATACTAAATTGACTATTTAAAAATTTTCAGCAAAAGCCAAGTGTCAAAGTAGCTGAAATAGATGAGTCGGCAGATAAAAATGAATATACTCGTACTATGAGAAAAAAGAAAGCATAGACGGCGAAAGGCGCTGGTCAAGAAAATGTATAAACAACGAGAACTTAAATGATGTGTGTAAATCTCTAATGACATTTAATAAATATCTACTTAAATAATTAAACTTTTAAAACAGTATACCCGTAATATAATAATCCGTGTTGTGACAGATTAAGAATACGGAGTGTCATTACTCCTATTTGTCCCGTGTCGTCGTAGAGCCGGCTGAGGGAGCAAGCTAGGCAGGACTACTTACAGCACTGTACCAACCCGTCCGGCCAGCGAGGTATAGTAGGCCTAAACCTCCTTTCTAAAGAGAGGCCTATGTCCAGCAGAGGACTATTAAAGGCTGTTGATGTGACGATGTGAACCGACTTCAATGTATCTACTTCATGAGGAATTGTTATAAACTGAGAACTGTAGTGGTAAATTGTTGTCAAATTTGAATGAGGTCAACCCAGAAGTATAACCCTTACAATAAAATAATAATCTTAGAAATTGGTTCATCAATGACGGAGTTGTAAGATAAGAAACTACATAAAAAAAATCGAGCCTAATTGACAACCTCATACGCACTCTTAAATATAATAACTTTATTAAAGTCACAAACACACTGCTTATTACTTAATGTGATGTAAATTTATTACAATTTTCGCAACTACAATTTCATAGACCAAATCACAATTGATTTAACAATTCATACTTTGTTGTACTTGACTGTGACAGATTAAGAGTGCCCGTACCCCTATCCATCTTGTAGGTGTCGTAAGAGCTGACTGAGGGAGCAAACTACGCAGGACAATGGCACTGCAAAGAGAAGGAAAACTTGAAACAAACCCTAATAAACTCGTCTGACTAGCGTGGTATAGCAAGCCTAAATCTCCTTTCTGAGGAGGGCTCATGTTCAGTGGACTGTAAGATACTGTTGATGATGATGATGATGGTGATGATGATAGGTAAAGAAGGAATTCATTGGTAGTAAAATCGATGATATGAATGAATAAAGCAGTGTAAACAATAGCTCAAGCAGGCCAGGAAAACAGACCTATAATTCAAAATGGCTGAAAAATGCGTTATTTTATTTAGGAAATCAAACTAAACTTGAACAGGGGAACTAGAGGAAAGAAGATAATGGTGATAAAACTAGAGGTATTTAGGAAAAGAGTAATTATATATTAAGGTACTACACGTCCGCTGTCTCTGAAGAATGGATGATTTTTTCTTTTCTTTAATATCTTATTTGAAATGTTCTTAAAATGGAAAATAAGAATTACCCAAATTAGTTCATCTCTTATTTACTACCTATTTAATACTAACAAATATGTTTATTTAATTTTCCCTTTATTTTTCTTTTCCCATTTTTCTTTTCTAAAGCCACCGTATTGGAGGCAATAGTCTTCTTTGTGTCGATTGAATAGGTCTTTATCATAATTGTTAAAATATAACTGCTTAGGACGTCTCTGCATACACCTTAGGGTACAGAGTGTGCCTGATTGCGGCTATCGTGCGGAGCGAGAGTGCGTGGAACTATGTCGTCTCCTTCTGCGAGCAAGTTATGCTCGCGAAGGAGACGGCGGCCGAGCCCGGGAACGGGCCAGGTACCGCAGGCGACTCAGGCGGCGGAGGTCGCAAAACGACCTCCGTCCTCCATAAGCGCAGGCCTGGGGGTGACAGGTGAGGCCATCTGTCACCCTAGCACAAGCAGGCCGAGGTGGCGCGTTGCGAAGCGCGCTCGCTTCCAGGGAGCAGAGGGAACATGGTTCCCACACGGGGGGGGGGGGGTCGTCTACTTGTTGTAGATGGCCCGAGGTATGTCGGGGCACCAGGGACTTCCTTTCTAGGGTAAACCTGGTTCCCCGACTATTAGTACCCGAGACGGCGTGCGGTTTTAGTCGGTTCGTGTCCGACATGCCACCGATAGGTGGTATCAGGGATTTCCGAACGGAAAAAAAAAAGGGTACAGAGTGTATGTAGGTACGTATGTAATGAAAGATAGATGTGACCGCACATAGATTAAGACATACAACTTACACGAGTAACATTACAATAATTATATGATAGCAATAACAAATACAATGTTAGAATTTAAATTAGAGAACGGTTATCAATGTTATGTCATAGGTTATTTAGATTTCGAAGTGAAGCAGTGGACAAATTGAAAAAGGGACTTTGTACTAGATCAGAGGTTTAGATGGGTCACTGGACTAACACAACACGCCCTACCATACTCCGTCTAAAATAGGAGGATAATCCGGGAACAGCTTTTGTGAACCCTCCTATCTACCCGCCTCAAACACAGCCGCATGAAACCGTGGAAGCTCTCAAGACCCAAACTAACAACAATCTCAGATACCATTTTGTAAATACACTCATACAAACTCAGCCAGGGTGATCAATAAGAATGCAATTTCCGAGTCGGTTGAAGTTGTATCTCGTGCCGTCTTCCGCAGATTCTTGCAAATCCACCCGCCTAATTCTAACTACGGTAAAATTACTTGAAATACAGTATAGGCGTTGAAAACAGAGTTCAGGAATGCTTTAGTCAGTAGGCATGGGATAAAATCACAATCACCTGTGATTAATCATATAACATTAAAAACATTTCATCACAGCTGATAATCATCTACAACATCACTGCGACTTATTATTATTATTACGCTAGCGCTAGAGAGGCAAAAGCCCTGAATCTAAAAAAGAAATGAAAAGGTCGGTTTGATTGAATTTGATGGCTTTAATCCTTGTCTATGACCAAATCTAAGTAGTGATTTATCACAGTAATCAAAAGTAATCATTACATCAAATGAGTACTTATGCTTTAAAAGTAGCAATAATTTCCATGTCTACTAGACAATAAATAGAAGGTGTGAGGCGATAAACGGAAGACAGAACGTTCCCAGCTACATGTTGTAATAGTGTGTAGTAACATGTACTAAAGTAAGTATCTTTGATTATATTGCATGTAGAAGGCACGGAGCCGATCTATGGCCAGCAGTGCCTTACTAAATTGACTGCACGGATGGCGTAGTGGTTTAAGCGGTCGCCACGCCACTTTCTATTGCGCTGAGTGTTGTGGGTTCAAACCCCACATGGGATAACACTTTATGTGATCCACAAATTGTTGTTCTGAGTCTGGGTGTACTTTGTGTCCGTTTCATGTATGTTTGTAAAGTCCCCCGCGACACAGGATTTATTCCTAGTGCGGGAGTTGTCTTTTAAAAAAAAAAAAAAAAAATATTGAATGAAAATATTTTAAAACAATTTATCACAAACTGAAGAAAGAATATCACCAGTTTACACTTACAACCTCATTAACAGTTTGTTTATTCTTACCCACTTTCAATAATATCAAAGGTACAAATTGTACCTACGTGTTCTTATCTGTCATGACAATTTTTGTTTTACAAAATCAGCTTCTGGTTATATAAGTTCGATAAAAATAGGTACCTTTTACAAAATTAAATGTTCTCGGTGCTCGGTGTTGCAGAGATTGCTTGTACTATGAAAGATAGATTGACTGATAGAATAGTTATATACTTTTATTTGCATATACATATTATACATAGAAAGCACCCAAACTCGGCATCAAATGCAAACATTTGGTGTGACCTGTTAATTAAATCCGAGAACTCAGCACAGCTGCAGTCGTATATGCTACCACTGCATCTCCAAGACAGTCGACATCTTTTATAAGATATATATATTTTATACTATAAGCGAAGCGAAAAGACGGGTAAGTCAATATTTGAGTGCTCTCTACATTAAAAGGGAGAGGTTCGGTCGCCGGAACCTTACTTACTCTGTGTAAGGGAACAAATAAACTGGTTTTCCCTAAGACCTTGGTATTACTCTGATCATATTTGCCGACACGTGACTCTCTCACTAGGAAATTAATCACTGTTGGAGTTTTGTTTTACTTTTGTTATGAAACCTTCATGAAAAGAGCGTACGCCTTCCTAAAAGGCCGGCAACGCGTTTGTGACCCCTGAGTTGTACCCGTTCTGGGGACCCATCTGCTCGTTTACAGAGAGCAACAGAGCAGATGGAATATCCTCCATAAATAAAAAAGAAAACTCTTGCCAAATTTCGTGAACTAGGACAATACGTTGATTACGTTGACTGAAAATCTGATGCCTTTTACAGCTTCAAGAGACCTCAAAGGCATAATAGTTTATTTTCTTTTTTCAGACACGGAACCCTAAAAAATAATAATCAGTGATACCTAGAACTCATGTTTGTGTTCTCAGATACTTAATAAAAAAAACAAGTTTTACTCACTTCTAAAGGCAGGTCATTCCAATCGGAGACGCGATTAAATCACGACGTTCCGAAACTTCAATTCTGCACCAAAAAGAATCAGAAGATGAAGGTTTTATACTTTCTATGCTTAGTGGTATTTTGCAAAGGATTTCCTCTTAATTCAACACCAGATAATGTGCAAACAGATGAAACGGCATTGTCCTCTGTTGTTACTCAGGATAAGGTTGAAAGTTCAAATGCTGCAGACACCGTTGCGGGTTGCATGGTAAGTGGGACGTTACGTAATAAACAACTATTGTTTATGAATGATTGATTTTTATTAATTTATTTTTTTGGTTTTTCTCTTTGTTTCTTAATTTCGCCTGTCGATGTTTTCTCTGGTTGTTTCGTTTTACACGCTTTATATTAGCTTCACTTGTTTGTTTGTTTGTAACCGACTCCTTTGGGCATGATTTTGACTGACTTAAAACGGTCAGAATTCGTTCAAACTTTGTAGATATATCGAGGTCTGATGACAATACACGAATTAAAAAAATAAAAAAAATAAAATTGGTGCTTTTTACTATTGACAACAGGCACCCAACGCTTTTTTTTCAAATTTATTTTCTATTTTTTAGTTTGGTTTTCTATAGAAAGCGTGTTTTTTAGTATTTTAAAAACTATAATTTTTTAAGCGCTGTTTCCGGAATTGAGTTAAGTCTCTCGAAGCGAATTCTCCTTTATGTCTCCTACCAATTAAAAACGGGTGCCACGAAGTGATAATTTGAGTTTAGGAAAAAGAAAGAAGCTGGCTGGAGCCATATCTGGTGAATATGGTGGTTGCTCGATGGTATTTGTTGAGTTTTTGGTCAAAAATTCGTTCACCAAATCCAAGAATTTTCTTTCACAAATCTGTTTTTTTTCGTCGAATTTGCTCTCTTAAATGCAGCATAATGCTCAAATAATATTCTTTATTTACCGTTTGACCTTCCGGCAAGAATTCCGAGTGCACAACACCGCGATAGTCAAAGAAAACAGTCAACATGACTTTGACTTTTGATCGACTTTGGCGTGGTTTTTTCGGTTTCGGTTCGATTGGAAGGCGCCACTCCGAAGCTTGTTGACTAGTTTGCATGTCAAACCCGTAAACCCACGTCTCGTCACTAGTAACAATGCGTTTCATGTATGTTGGGTCGGAATTGACTCGTTCTAGCACGTCCTCAGCGACTCTCATGCGATTGAGTTTTTGGAGGAAATTCAGGTCTATTGGGATTAGCCGAGCTGTAACATGTTTCATACCCAAATGATTAGTTAAAATGGTACTGGATCGACTCAAACAAGATACAAATACTTCGGCGGCTATCACTCTCAAAGTTGAATGAGGATTTTCAGTCACTATTTCCTTCACTTTTGCGATGTTAACTTCAGTTGCAGATCATGATGGCCTACCAGAGCGAGGCAAATCTTCCATCACATCTCGACCGCTTTTGAACGCTTTGTACCACTCATAAGCACCGTTTACCGTAAGCCTTTTGTATTATTTTCAGTGACTTCGAACACGAAATTCCATTGGCGATGAAAAATTTAAGACAAACTCTTTGTTCGATGTTTTTGTCCATCATGAAGTTCGCAATACAAACTAGATATGATATAACTAAAAACAACACTGTGACAATCTAACAACAACAAATAAAAAATTGAATATAGAACCAAAAACAAATCATCCCTTCCCGATATTTTTTTAACTGAATGTATACCACTACTACTGTGCGCTTTTCGAGATGCGTTTTGTCCCGCACAAACAATCTGTGGAATGGGTTATCGTCTGCGGTATTTCCGGACCGATACGAACTTCAAACCTTCAAGAAAAGAACGTAAAATCACCCAAAATTAGTTTAGTCCTGTCAAATAACATTTCGTATTCTTAAAACGTAGTACTTGACAGGATTATATTAATTTCATTGATTTTTATTTTAGTTTAGAGAGTTTTCGAAAAACAGAATTAGCAGTAAAATATTTTTACAACACTTGAGATCTAGCACCCTACACGTTTTTTTACTATAAGATTATTATTCTTTTTGAACAAATAGAAAATTATTTTCTTCCTTTTAGTTCTGATAGCTACAAAAGCATGTTATTTAGTTTTTATATATAGCATTTTTACCATCTAAGGTCTGGTCGTTTTTATTCTGTGAATAATACTCATTGTTCGTAACTTATGTTGTGTCGTAACTTGTAATCGGTTTATTATATATGTATAGTTTTTATTTTCAGAGAGCAAAAGAGAGAACAATAATTGCAGAAAAAGTAGAAATTACTTATGTTACCCCAATCCCAATAGATGATTCCCAGGTGACAGAGCTGAAGCTTGACTCAGAAAATGAACCGGTAACCATTTTTTATATAAATTTACCATGTACACTGCTTGGCTGTGGTGCGTTGTAGTTTAATTTATGAGAAATTGAGAACAAAACTGACACGAAAAATAGATAAAAACAATATTTTTGAAGCAGGTTGTGCATTCAGCTGATGTTTTTTGAGTTCTTGAAGCGCACACAAACCAACTTAACATTTATAATATATAAATATAGATCTGTACTAAATTAGATATTCTAAAACTTTCAGCAAAAGCCAAGTGTCGAAGTAGCTGGAAGATATGTGTCGGCAGATAAAAATGAATACACTATGAAAAAAAGGAAAGCATAGACAGCAAAAGGCGTTGGTCAACAAAATGAATAAACAACGAGAACTTCAATGATGTGTGTAAATGTTCTATAATATATTCAATAAATACATATCTGCTTAAATAATTAAACTTTTAAAACAGTATTAAAGACTTAATTCGTGTGGTGATGGCTTAACAATACGGAGTGTCACGTCTATTCGTCCCGTGGGTGTCGTAAGAGCCGACTAAGGGAGCAAATTACGCAGGACTACTTACAGCACTGTACCAACCTGTCTGGCCAGCCTTTCTAAGGAGAGGCCTATGTCCAACAGTGGACTATTAAAGGCTGTTGATGTGACGATGTGAACAAAATGGCTGAAAATGCGTATTTTATTAAGGAAATCAAATTAAACTTGAAGATAGCCAAATCCATTATTTTATAGGGGAAATAAGATAATGGTGATAAAACTATAGGTATTTAGGAAAAGAGTGATTATATGTTAAGGTACAGAGACAGCGGACGTGTACGTCCGCTGTCTCTGAAGAATGGATGAAGACAAACTTCGATATGATGCCTCCAAATTAAATTGGTGCTTGAGGCCTCCACAGTAGGCGACAAAGTTAACCGTGATTTCTCCTCATCATTGCAGTTTGAACCCCAAATCAAATTACAATTACAATATTAAAGCTTTTCAGTTTTCTCCAGTAGATCTACGTGTGGTCAAAAAGACAATCCTCTCAATCAAATCCAATGCCATGGGACGTGACAACATTAACCGTCGCATGATCATCCCTATCCTCGAACACCTTCTTACTGTGCTTTTACACAGATAAATATTTTTTCTCTTGACTCCGGGAAATCCCCACTCGGGGAAATTACACATCGTGGCGTAAGGCGTTTTTCACCTGAATCACCTACGACCAGTCTCCAGTCTTAACTTCCTATCCAAAGTCCTCGAGGCCTGTGTTAACCAGCAACTATCCCAACATATTTACCGAAACAACTTACTAAGCCCTTTCTAATTGGGGTTTAAAGCCAGAGCATTGCACTACTTCCGATCTGCTAAAAGTGACCGGTGACATCCGAGCAGGAATTGAGAAATCCAAAGTGACTGTGTTGGCTTTGGTTGATCTCTCAAATGCATTTAATACCGTCAGTCACGATATCTTTCTATCTATCGCATTCATAAGATAGGAAAGCCTATCTTATGAATGAGCCTGATACACTGGAATGGTTCTCCTCATATCTCCAGGGGCGCCAGCAGTCTGTCCGCGTCGATGAAGCCTCTTCAAGTTAGCGTGAGCTTGACTGTGACCTCTCTATTATTATCAATATTTATCAATCTCATCATCCGAACTTTTCAATGTGCTTTTCATCTTTATAACGATGACTTGCAACTTTATTATCAAGCCTCGACAAACGACATAAATGAGGCCATTTTTATGGTTAACAATCACCTGTTTTCCTAGGAGGCTATTAGGTGTTGGGCTGATGGGCTGATGGGAGTGCAAAACCAATTCCTGTGAATCCAGCGAAGTGCCAAACCATCATCATAGGAAGTCAGCGCATGACTGGAAGGATAGATCAAGACAAATTGCCACCCATCACGGCGTAGTCATTCCCTTCAGTCCCTCTGTTAAGATCCAAGGCTTATTTATAGACTCCAAGCTCAGCTGGCAAACCCAGGTCACCAGCGTTAGCCAGAGAGTCAAAGGTACACTACGGGCCTTCTATCGACATAAGAACTTCCTTCCTTTCGAGACAAAAGCGATGTTAGTACAGACCCTTATTGTCCCTATCCTGGATTATGGTAATGTATGTTATTATGACTTGACAGGCCTCTCCTTAGAAAGGAGGGTTTGGGTTTGTTTTGAATCTAGATCTCCTCAATACATATGACCGCCTTCTGAATAACTGCATCCGATTCGTCTTTAACCTTCGCAAATACGACCATGTTTCCTCTTCTCGTTGCGAATTGAACTGGCTCACGATTCGTTAGCGCCGTCAACTGCATGCCCTCACCACCCTCTATTCCTTTCTCAACTTACCTATTTCCCCTTCCTACCTGACATCCTTATTCCAATTTCTATGTTCCAATCACAAGCCTCGAGCTCGAATTCTCGTTTATATACATGTACTCGTATGTATGTATATAACTCAGTAAGTACATATGTATGTATATCTCAGTATCTATGTAACGCTGTCAGCTATCTGTCATACTGTTTCTGTCCATATCCTTAATAATAATTATCTCGTTAACACAAAAAACTTAATTTCTAGTGCACCTACTCAGTTTTTTCTACAATATTACTACAGTTAAAATTTCCACTTAAATAAACAAATACGAAGTCTAAATTTGAGGTCAAGATTTAACACCTCTAAGTACGATACGATATAAAAATATTTTCTGCAGAAAGTCACGTATAGTTACGATAGTAGGTCTCTATATATTGACCTTTCGTGCACTAACAGACTGATAAAATTATATTTAATATGTTACATACGTTGTGCATATAATGTTAAAATAGCTCTTTACAGCATGTCATTAAAATGAATATATTAGAAGAGAGGTTTATAATGCGAGGGCATCGGGCGTCGCACACTGGGTCCAAACCGGGCAAAAATGTTCAAACCCGGCTCTGTCTTCAATTCAAGACCGATTTTCTATATTATTTTTTAACGTAATCTTAATATAGTTTGTTAAATATTTCACAAAACAGAGATTGTTGTTATTGTGTGTGTTGATCTATGACAGTCTACACAACAATTTGAAATTATAATTATTATTTTAAATAAAGATGATTTGAGTTTGAGATTCACGAACCGCGCAAAATTTTATAGGGTTTTCCTGTGAGGAAGAATAGCCTAAGTTACTCCTTATATGGACAGATACCTGGTACTAAAATATTATCAAAATTGGTCCAGTCGTATTGAAGATTACCCGGAACAAAAGAGAGACAATCAGATACACAGACAGACAAGAAATATTAAAACTTGTTTTTAAGCATAGATATCGTGCAAGTAACCGTGGGAGCCAAATTATAGTAGGCCAAAACCTCCTTTCTAAGAAGGGGCCTATGTCCAGCAGTGGACTGTAAAAGGCTGTAGATGATGATGAACCGTGTGAGCATGATAATAACCTAGTATTTGGACATTACAAACAAAAAAATCAATTTTATTCATTAGTATAGAAAATAAAGATGTCCTGTAAAATAGTCTTATCAACATCTACCTAAAAGCGAAAGGGACTTCGTTCCGACCGGGGGTCCATAGACCCCTTACGCCGCTTTAATTAGTTATTGTTGAATTGTATCAATATAATTGCATTTCTTTATATTCTGTGGCAAAATTGTTGTCATTTGTCAATATCGTCGTTTAATCGTTGTAACGTTGTAGAAATTCTTAAATTTAGAGAACACTTTTAGAGATAAAACACTTACAGGAAATTCTGAAATGTTTCTTATTTAGTTCTAACTATTTCACTTATAAAAAAAACACTCATTAAATCATGTTTTAGGTGAGTTTACGCTAGATCTAGAAAGAACAAGAAGAAACTATTCACTGGATTAACATCGTAACATGTTTGGACCAGCTCATTTTCATTTATTTCCATTTTACTGGCAAGCCACCTGTTCTCGTCTTGATTAGTCCAAATACGTACCTACAATCAAGTACAGCTCCTTGACAGTTCTGTAAACTTAGTCTGACGCTATATAAAACTCTAAAAATAATATTAGGAATCCAAGTTACAAATTAATCAATTTTCAATTTTCAAAATTTCTAGAATAATTTTTGCATGATGACACTCCATTTATCTATGGATACTTATGTACTTACACTATAAACTAGCTGACCCGGCGAACGTACGGTTTTGCCATATACATTATTTCAGAAAAAAATCAAGAAAAAAAAAATTGACAAAAAAAAACAAAATTAGGTGTATGAAAAATAGATTTTGGCCGATTCTCAGACCTACCCGATATGCACACAAAATTTCAGGAAAATCGGTAGAGCTGTTTCGGAGGAGTTCAACCAAGCACACTGTGACACGAGAATTTTATATATTAGATGTAAAAGAGAATTTGTTTTAGAGTTTTTTTTAATTATTTTATAAATTATTTCACCAATAGAAAGCGTATACTTAAGCTCCTTAACTACGTAGTATTGGGGATCCATGTTACAAATTAAACAATTTTCAATATTTCAAATTTTATAAATAACTAACAGTACGCTGGCGCGCTGTGGTTGTAAAAATAAAATAAAAACCATCTTTAAAGGTTGTTGTATAACGTGTGAAAGTCTGAGCTTAATTGGTGCAGAACTTTTTGAGTTTTGAAGCGTACACAAACACGTGACAGAACAGTAAAAAACGGCAGAGGAGGTATATTCCTTTGGCCATAGTTCAGTTCTATAACAAAAAGATTAACTATGTGTACGGCAGACCGCAAGGAGGTGAAATTCGCGTATTCCTGGACGTCGCCTAAATGAAAAATTTTACTTGATGGTGAAGCCCGCGCGGGTTGCAGTGGTTCGGATGTCTTCGAATAAAAATATTGACGGATCAGAATGGTTCTCCGTGTGGTTTTAGTCAGTTCGATTCCGACACACCGCTCCATTACGGATCCCAGTTGGGTAAAAATCCGTGGCGGAAGGTTGTCTACACTAGTCACAAATCTCCACGATATTACGTGATTAATATGTGCATAATGAAATAACGCTGGAATGTTCGCAAATCATCATTTATTAAATTATCATTTTAGTAACCACATCCACAATCACATCTACCGTTGATAGCGACAGAACCAGCAGCTGGCACATTACCACAAAAATTAACAGCACCCAGAATTGGTACTTGACCAATAACAGCAGTGTTACCAGACACTGGCAGTTCACCAATAACGGCAACGTTACCTTCACCAACACCACCGTAAGCCGCTGCTGAAGATGCTCCGTATGCCGATCCGCCAGCGTTACCAATAAGTCCCGCACCTCCAATGCCATATCCTAAACCGCCAAGACTGGCGCTTCCACAACCATAGT